AGATTTAAATTTACTGAATATCTAGGTAAAAAAGTTATATTTACCACATATAAGTTTAATGGCGCTTTTCCACTGCAGGGCCTCGCTCGGCTTAGTACGGTATGGTTAGGCCTTGTTAGGCCTTGTTAGGCCAGGCTCACTTTATGCTGCGTTTCCAATACATTTTAGGAACTGGGGTAGTAACTATAGTAACGCAGTGTAGGCGGAGCCATGACGTCATCTTCCATGCGAAACACAAAACCAACATCAGCCGTTAGCTGTTAGCCCTCAGAGCCCACAGCTCCTCATATCTGTTCAGAAACTAGACAAAAGTTAAACAAGTAAAAACCACAGATTGTCTGTGTCATGGCGAATACAGTCGCTGGTTTATTTATGTCTGTATAGGCCGTTGTTGTGAGTGTGGACGTTCGGAGCATATACTGCGTTAGCTTAGCTTATCTCCATTCAGAAAACACGCATTTTAAAAGGTTTTTTTGCCTGCCGTCTATCTGCAGACTTGTCAAAGCATTAATTCATGGTTTTTACTAACCAGTATCAGTATGTTGTTACTTCGTCATCATTTTGAAACGTGTATTACAATTAAATCACGGTACAATGTTAATTGTGTTGTAGTTCCCAGCGATTCTCTCACTAGTTTAGCATACTCAGCCCGGTTGTTGGCCCGGAAAGAACCTCGATTTTAGAGAGCCAGAAAACTGTGAAAAAGTACCCGCTAGCCGGAACTACGCCTAGTGGAAACGCAACCAAAAAACGGGCCGGTCACGGCACGCTTAAAACCGCGCTCTGCGCTGTAGTGGAAATGCGCCATGAGGGAATTGCATGTGTTTGACAAGCTATTCACGGTAAAGACGCACATGTCACAACTTGTTATGTACAAGCATAGCAAGTGTCCATTTAGGCATTATTGCATAACAACCTGACCCTGACCTTGAAAAACATTAAAATGTGTTTTACATGTGATTCAGACCTGCTAGTTCGTGCTAAGGGATCATAACATAATAAATCTCCTTCACCAGCATAATGTTGTTTCAGCTCAAATCTGCAGTAACTTTGGGACCTGCTCTCTATCAAAATAACAGCCACTGTTCAAATAAACTCAACACACAAGTTTGGGCCTGGTGTTCCTTCCACTGACGGGAGCTATTCTCATGAAGATTAATGTTTTTTTTTTTCTATCGAGTAATCTGATATTAAACAAGTATTTCTCATGGATTATTTTTTCTGTCCAGGTTTCGGAATAGTCAAATGATCATTTGGCATTTGTTTCTTTCCTTGCAAGATGAAATCATTAATGCAGAAAAAAAGAGAAGGGTTTCTTTCTCATTCAAAGTTTATTAAAGTGCCCCATTATGCTTTTGGGGGTTTTCCATTTCCTGCAGTGTGTTATATAGCTTTTTGTACATGTTAAGGGTGTGTTTAGTTCCGTGACATGGTAATATCACTACGTAACAATAAGGGTTTTATTTGCTAGTGCTTCAACACATTAAACGTGATAGTCCAAGGGGCGGGACATCTCTAAGCAGTTGAGCAATCAAAGCAGACTTGGCTCTGGTTTCAGACAGAGGGTGAAAAGAGGTGCTGCAGCACATGCAGTGTGAGAAAAATAAAGAACTTTTTTAACATAAATAAGCAAATAAACATGTCACAGTAGAGGAACAAAATACAAATATGAAAACTAAAAATGAGCATAATCTGTCCTCTTTAAAAGATCGGGTGAACCTTGATTTTTCAGCCCTTCAAATGTGTATCTCAACAGGTTTCTCAACCTTGACATGAGGTCGCTTTCCACACATTATACAGGCGCACATACACACACCCTGTCACTTAAATTATGATTCTGCGAAAAGAAACACACATGCTTGCATAAACAAACACTCACGCAATAGTGTTGTCACCCACGAGAACATATCCACACATAAACTATTCATGCACATAGAGAGGGAGATGAAGAGCATGTTCACATAAATCAATGCACTAAAAGATGCTATGCATGCTAAAGTCAACATACAGATGGTGCAGCAGGGAGGAGAGAGGAGAGGTTGGAGCACCCGGCGAAGCTTTCTTTTTTCTCCTTGAAAGCGAGCAGTGTGTTTGGATATGAATAGAACCGCATGACTCTAAAATAGCACCTTTTTACTGCACATCTGTTTACTTTGAAAGTGTATCTCTTGCATTCTTACACTTGACTTGGTGACTTCATCACTTCCCTCCGGGCACAGAATATATAAGTGAGTCAGGACGCTCAACAGGATTTCTCTGCACGCAAGCAGCAACTGGTAAGGGAGGGTCTACACATGTGGTGTTATCTGGTCTGAGTATATCTAGAGGTTCCTAACAAAACATTCAGACTATGTGCATTCAAAAGCAATCACTGTAGTCACTTTTATTACAATATGGAGGCCAAGTGCTCCAATGAAAGCTTTTGCACACTTCCTTCACATCGGATTTACATTTAATTGCATATTTGTCTGTCATTAGAAACACTTCTTACTAGACTAAATCCTCCAACTGTTTGCATAATACCCCAGTATGTCCTCCAAATAAAAGGTCAAGCCATTAAAAACCTATGTTGAATAAAGGATCTGTTTTCCTCCCTTGACATTTTCTTTGTATCCAAATTGTATTAAAATACAAAATCAGCTGTGTATTGTATTCCGTTGCTTTTGAGGACCATTCAGCATTCTTAAAAAAGCCAAAACGAGATTGTTACTACTGTAATAACTGAAATAATCCAGCCCTGAACCTTTCTGCACAGTATTCGGCGTAGCTGGCTTCATACATCAATAAGGATGATCGAATGTCGTTGATTAATTCTATATCAACTTCACAGCTTGACAGGAATGGCGAGTCCATGACCATTTCTAAGAGTGGCGGCTAGCTCAGACGTGTCCTCTATACCAGCGGGACAGAGATGATTGAAGGTTGTAGAAGTTAGGGACACATTAGGGATTACAACTAGAATGTTGAATCACTTACCTTAAAAGGGTGTTGGTGAGAAACGGAAGAGAAAAAGTCACCAACTTGACAATACAGCGCAGCATTTAGAAAACATTCACCAACTTGACGAAAAGACGACCGGAGTGCTTGTTGATGTTCGGGGATTATAAAGTTGGGCAAATGTCACTCGCAGAGTTAGTCAGTTTCATAATTGAAATGGCTAGTTAACTACGTTAGCTAGCTAGCTTACAGCAGATCTGCAGTAATATCCGAAGGAATCATGTGATCACATTGTTAAAATAAGCCAGTAAAAAATACTTTTTCGAGGTTTGTTTCCAGTGACAGTGAGAGTTGGCAAACTTAAAAAAAAAAAAAAAGTTAACAAGCATTTGCTCCCAGCTGTGTGCATCACTTGTTATTGTCCCTCTTTCTGTTGTGTTTTGAGCCTTTTTTATTTTGCAGCGTTTCTTTCATGCAGCGCTTTTAGTAAACGCTTCGCGTGTTTTGTTGAGTTGGTAAATGTTTTTTTAAATGCTGCGCATGTATCTGTGAAGCTGTTTCTTAATTTCCCTCTGATTCGGGCCAATTGTATTTTATATTTTCAACGTTTCGGAAAAGCTCAGCGCGTTTCTCCAAATGTGCGTGTATTTTTTGTGTGCTGTTGTAGCACAGTTCACCCACAAAAAAGTGGCCCTTCAAAGGCTTCATAAACAACAACACAGTACATTTTCAAAAATATCCAATGTTACACCATTCCATACCTGTATGTAATGCTAACGTTGGTTCTTTACGATAATCTTGCCTGATTCCTTTGCAGCTAAAGTGCTTAGTAATAAACAGCTGATATAAGGAAGCTGTTATATTTTTACCTCAATAAAGGAATGATAATTAATCCAATTCAGATGGAAACTTGAAGCTAAATTCTGTAGTATATACTAAATAAGGGATTAATCATCATTAGTATGATGACGGCAGCTGATTCGTGACAAAATAAACACAAAACGGTTCTCTTACCAAATACACTGCTCTCGTGTATTTTATTATTCATCATATTAAAGCCCCTCTCAATATTATGGTCTTTCTTTATTGTCTTACAAATATTAAGTTATCCACAAAAATAAAATAACTTAGATAATAGCGATATTAAAACATAAAAACACATACAGACATACATACATTACACTTATGACATGAAAAAATGCATATTGCTGATATCTCCCAGAGTTTTCCTGGACACAGTTATGTATGTGCAAACTACTCATCAAAATCTAAATAACTCTGGAAACACAATTCCAGATTTTCTTTTTTTTACCCATCTGCTTTCAACACAGAAACACATTTGCTTGAAATAAATTACACTGCCTGATAAGGAGCCTCACTCAAATACATATCATAGAGACATTCATATCAACTTTGCTTTAAATGTACTTTAAAATTAACTTGATAGTATCCATATTAGCACACATGGAAGAAGTGTGGAGAAAGTGAGTGTGGATATATCACAAGAAGCTTACAGTGTTGCACACGCTAAATTGTATCACAAAACAGGAAACACTGATTGATGGCAGCTCAGGATGTTTATAGTGTTAGTAACCAAAGCCTGTTCACCTGCTCTCAGTTTCCCGAGGCACTTTACATTTATTGATGGTATTTTTGCAACATTATTCAATTTTATTTACATTTATATCATGCTAAAAATGAAGGTCTATTGTGCACTGTGTACTCTGACACAACACATGGAACATTTTGGACAATCTGTGCTCTGATTTAGGGTGGCTAACCTTAGCGTGTATAGGGTTAGTGCTCTATTGTAGCTGATTTGTAGTCTTTTGGTTGACTTAGCTTCATCGTTGATGTAATTTGCTCCTTTTACTCATATAGTCCAGTCCTTTTTGGGATTCATGTGAACGTATTGTGGGGTGCTATCACCATTTGCAGGGTTACACATTATGCGTGCAATATACTAAAATTAACATTTACATTAACATGTCAGTGAAGCAACACAGTCCCCTGCTGTTATTTTAGGTGAAAATGTGATAGTTGGTATGAACATTGAAACTTCTGAACTGCCCTTGAACAAGGCACTAAATCCTTAAGTGCTCTGGGTGTTGTGTGCTGTGCCAAATCCTGTGAATGTGAATCCTGTTGTGGGAAAAGGTCTTTATCGGTCTCAGACCTTCCATACTGCTGGTGCTATGAAGCAATACTATTTTCTTTTTTGCATGCAATCTACTGCTTACTCTCAACTTCCTGTTTGCACACCTGGATCTCATGCAGCTGTATGTCAATCATTATCAGCCCAGATTTCTTAGCTTTCAGATAACTATCTGATAGAACTAAGTTCCTTTGTCTCAAAAGGAAGTCAGTGAACATTCGAACTCTCTGAGTTGTGGCAGCTTTAGACATATTTTGCATGTGCACGCTATTTACCAACATGCGCATCTATCTTTCTGCTGGATCTACTGCTTAACACAATGTCGCCCCGCTTCTGGAAAACAGCAGTCCATCGCAAAAAGGTATGGGGCAAATATATAACAGTCTTACTCCCCTTTGAAATGAATATCCTTGGTTTTAAAAAAGTCTCTTTTTCTTTGTTTTCTTTATTGTGTACAGTCTTTTAGTGTGTGTTTCTTCATTTACAGACACTGACCCACTCTGTTATCCTGCACTCTTCGCACACTACATAGCAGCACCAGTGGAACTTGCAGTTGCAGCGTTCGCTCCGCGTCTGCTGCAGGATGTTGTGGCCTCTCCCGCAGCACAGACTCTCACAGTTGTCCATGCCGGGGCTGGTCTTGTTGCAGATCCGGCCCTGCGTGCCCGCCGAGTCCGAACCCAGGTCCCTCTCGCAGAAATCTGGCGACTTTTCAAAGTAGACCAGTTCGTTGATGTTCGGCCTCCGCCGGTGATGGTGGTTGTGGTGGTTGTTCTGATGATGGTGATGGTGGTGGTGGTTGTGATGGTTATGGTGACTGTGGTGGTTGTTGTTGTTGTGGTTGGAGTGGTCCAGTTGTCCGGTGTTTCGATTGTGAGCTTTGATGAGGGTGGCGAGGTGGAAGCGCTCTTTGAGGATGGAGCCCACCACCCGGAACTCCGGGGTGACCTGCCAGCAGGTCTTCAGCTGACAGCTTCCCGACGTCCCGTGGCACTTGCATTTCCTTCTCATGTGGTCAAGCACCACCTGGGAAAAGACAGATGGAGACAGACACAAAGAGAGAGAGTGGGATGGAGGGAGGAAGTGAGAGGAGGTGGAGGGGGAGGTGGGGAGGAAGAAATTGAGAAGGATTCATTACTTTCTTGATTACCGGCTACATTTTAATTTTAATGTACACAGGTACAGGCTGCACGTCATATTGCAAAATAGATTTTTTTTTGGAAACAAAAGGTGTTGTTATTTCTTATAAGTAGATCACTCTTCCATCGTATAGTGTGTGACACATAGTGCCCTGAAGGAATATTTGTCCCGCATCCAACAAGCCAGGTGGTCTGACTCTGAGCCTGTTGTCAAACATACTGATATCAAATAACTCATACGGATGCAGGCATTACCCAAACAGACAGTAAAGTCATTATTCATTTGGCTTTAGGTAATGACTCCAAGCAGGACACACATACATGTAGCTGCACATTGGATAATTATATCTAATAGTTTAATGTTGGCCAATGGAATTATTTAAATCTTTTAAAAGGTTTTTAAGCACTAAAATAATGATTCTGATGTCTGTGGAATATCTACATGCATAAACAAGAATAAACACAAATGAGAGATTCGCAATTGTATAATTACGTTAGAGCATGACACCGCAAAACTGGAAGACCTACCCACCTATTTCAGAAGCACACACACACAAACACACACACATACACACCAGATAAGTATATCCCACACGGCATAAATATTGTCCATCCCAATGATATTCCATGGAGACTATGTGCATGTATCCAAGTGTGTGTGCATGCTTAAATCAGTCATCACCTGCTCTAAACTTTAAGATCCAATTACCCAACAGGAACACCAGGCCACCCACCGTACTGACAGATGCTGCTGCTGTTGCCGCCCCTATCAACACACACACATACACACACACATGCTGGACACTTGCACAGTTCAACACATTCCACACATTTGATAGCAATAATTCTAATCTCAACACATACCCACAGACACACAACGTGGCTGTCACCCACAACCCACTTAAGTGTCTTCCATAGAGATTAAGGCATGGCAAAAAATCTAATTAAAAAAGACAAGTAGAGGAATTTATTGTTTGTTTGTGTTTGCTTCGTTTAAAAAAATATAAACATCTCCCAAGTAGAGCATCATACTGTATAGATAACTGGACTTTTTCAAGGGGCCCTAACATGCTCATTTTCAAAGTCTAATTTGTATTTTGTGCCTAATAAAATAATAAAATTCAATAACGTTCTTCAACCACCAGGTGTCCCTTTCTATCAGCTCTGCACTGTTATGGTGTAAATACAGCCTATCTACCAATTGGATAGCTGTTTCCTGGCAACTCAATCGCATTAACGTCACGTCCGTTAATTCCAAATCCACACCTATGATCCACACGCATGGATTAACATCGATTTAATACATTAATGTAGCCTTTGTTTCTGCTAAAAGAGGTGTCGAGCAGCTGGGGAAACAAGAAAATTGGCGTAATCGAGTGTGACTATTACAAAATAAATCATTACGTCGGGGTAGCATTTGCTTGGCATTTCCGGTTATTTCTCCACTGGTTAACATGGGTTAACAATACCGTGTAACTGTCACGTTTGAAGGGACGAAATCGTGACATCTTCACGTCTCCCAGCATGGTAAATCGTCACATGTTCACGTCTTGCCGTGATACCGGGTTGGTTTTACCAGTTTTAATCACAGTGTTCCTTTATTTTTTGGGGAGGAGACCTCATGGATAATGAGTCATACAAATCTCCTTAATGATGAACAAATAAGTAATTCTAACCGGTAGAAGCTAACATGATATAAGCACCACCAATCTCCATCTTTTATTATGTTTTAATGGATAGAACTGTATTGGCAAAATAACATAGTGTCTGCTAAATCTAATGTGAACACATGAAACTTGAAATCTAGATCGGACAAATTTGATAATTGTCTTAACGCTAAAATGACTGAGGAAGAGGTAAAGCATCATACAGAGTCAATAACCCTGTAACACTGAACATCCACTGTACTCACAAATCATAGATGATACAGTTGCACTTTACTTTTTACAAAAACATTTATTTTGGTATGAAGTTGTTAATTGTGGCTTTTTATTGACATATTTGAGCAATTTGTGCGCACTGTTAAGGGTCACATCATCCCTCCTCTCTGTGGATCTTCAGGGAGTTTAGCTAAGTGAACAGCAAGAGTATCAGAAAAGAGTCACAGAAAGTCACCAGGGGGCTTTTTAAGATGTGAATATATTAACAGCTGCAATAATCAATATGTAGGTATTAATAATGGATCAATGTGTAATGTGTATGTGAAAGCTATGGCTTCATTGATGACACCATGATGAAGCAAAAACTGATTTCCCCTCAGCTCTACAGAGCATGTTTTCCAGCCCACAAATTCCCTGTTTTGGTTCCTTATCAGAGGTGTGTCCAGCAGCAGCTGTGTTCTCTTCGCTGTACACCACATGCAACGCAAATAACAGACTAAACTAGAAAACTGGTGTGAAAAAAGATTGATTTCCTCCATATGATTTCCCTCGGGAGTTGGCGGAAGGCACAGCGAATAGGAGAGTGAACTAGAAAATGCATTTCCTGCAGAAAATGCGTGTGAATGCTGTAAACTGTGAACATTTGTGGCTGAATTTAGCAGAAAATGCAGAAAAAGCTGAATATGTGATTAGCTGAATGGTCTCTGTAGCTGCTTTTAGCTTTAGTAAGTGTGTTGCCGAACTTAGCGGAGAAATGCAGAAAAATTAAATGATTTAAATCAAAATTGTTACAGCTCAAAAGCATTGCAATGACTTTGTTGGAAACTTGAAAGTGAAATGTTAAACTGGAAGAGTAGGAAAAATAGTGAAGAAGCCTACTATTTAAAAGAAAAAGTTTGAAAAAGGTATAAATAACAAAATGTATAGCCTCAATGTTCTGAAATAGCTGAATAAGTTAATAGTTGAATGGTTTCTGCAGCTTAAAATAGGCAGAAGGAGTTACATATCAGATGTAGTAGTAGTGAATGAATGTTTACAAACACCTGTGTGTGTAAGCCCAGATATCAAAGGTTTCCATGGAGATGTACTGTGAAAGGATAGCCTTTCAATTTGTTCTGAATGAGAGACAAACCTCTTGCATTTCTAACTTTTGTTGAAAAAAAAAAATACAAACCTCCAGTCTGTTTGTGGGCGTGTCTGCTTTTATTAGATGATGTCACTCAGGTGTGTGGCCCCGATCTGCCCAGCAACACCATGGTTACCAACTGCAGCACCTTGTCCCATTAAGAAAGCATTGAGGATTATATCTGACTATTTTGTCACCTTGTTCAAAAACTATGGCTCCTATAAAAAAATGACCAGACCGTCAGCATCAGGGAACCCCAATGAACTGATATATGTTGTTTTTTAGGTTTTGTGTGTAAGGAGATGAGAGCAGTTTTTTTAAAGTTTACTCCTCTCTAGTCTGAAGAAAGATCCGGATTTTTTTTACATGGGAGTCTAATGGGAGCTCGGTGGACTTTTTGACAAGATTTTGTTAAAATGCTGAATATTCCAAAAAGTATAACATATTTTGAAAAAGTTGAAAGTTTCCCATCATGTGCTGAAAAGGCTGAATAGTTTGATATTTGAATGGTTCCTGCAGCTGAAAGTATGCTGAAGTTATTGAGAGCCAAACTATTTGGTGAAATAATAATAATAAGAAGAAGAAGATTAAAGAATCGAAGAACTATAGTGGAATGCTGTAAACAGCATTCGCCCTAACTAGGAACATTACACTATTGTGTTCAAGGTGCAAAAACTGACAATTGTAATTATGATCATGATCAAATTTCCAGTTACACCATAGTTTGTGTACAGTTTTAAGACCAGACATGAATGTGATTGTATCAACGTTATATGTACCACGTAATCACAATGTGAGTCAGTCCAATGACTCACAACAGAGGGGGCACACTTTATGGTTTCAGCTGACTAGAATGGAAGTTAACTAGCTGTAAGCGATACATGCACCTTTCTGTGGAGGATTAATTCAGGAAGGATTGAGATATTAAACTTTTTAACCATGTTCACAATAAAACTGTATTCATGTGAGTTTAGAATGTGCTAACTGGGTTTTTAAGAATGTACTGTATATAGAAAGTGAAACAAACACTCAAAAGGGGAGAAAATGGCTCTGTGAGGACGTGCCTCCACAGTTAAAGGGAGGATGATTGTACAAACTCAGGCTGGGTTTTTCTTGGCTCAGAATATAGGCTTCATACATCTATTAGTAGTAAAGCATTGATCCTGCCCACATACCGTATGAAATAAGTCCAACTCTTTGCATCATAGCAAAAAACATCCACATGTTAAAATGGCATCTTTCCAGGTGACACATCCATAGATAGATGAACAGATACAGATAAGACATGCCAGAAACCATGAATACAATAATATATTTAGAATGATCCAGTGGTGGAATGTGCACATTTACTCAAGTATTGTATCGGTGCTTGAATTGGGCCGGTACTCACCGGTACGCAGCACCGGCACTTCTGATTTTTACCCATGTGGTACCGGCACGTCTTACTGAGTACCGGCAAAAGTCGCCGGCGGTATCTCATGACGCATCTCATGACGCATCTCATGACGCATCTATGACGCATCTATGACGCATCTCATGACGCATCTCATGACGCATCTCATGACGCATCTATGACGCGCCGCAGCGATAGACTTAGCATTTCGAAAATGTTAGCGTGGCTTTATAATAGTGCGAAAAGACAGCGGTTGTCGCCGGACAAGGATTCCCTCTCTCCTTTCCTGCTGAAAGATGGTGAGTGTACTCAGGGACGAGGAGTCATTTAACCAGCCGCCAGTAGGAGTTAGGCTTTACTTTCTTTTATATCCATAAAGAAAAAGTAAATCTGTTTACAGTTGTTTCATATGGATGTTGAGAGGTATCCATATATCTCTTCATTTTGCTCTCAAAGTGCACCAGATTGATGCATCTAACTTCAATATTTATAAAACAAAT